TATGAGCGTAAATAAATCAAGGTCGCAAATGGATCATTATGATTAAAATGTTTGCCATGATAAAACATTAGAAAATTAGTTTTAATTTTTGCTTTTTCGTTTTAAATATTTTTATATCATTCTATAGGCTTAATTTATATGTGCTTATTGTTGAGGCGGGCCGTACAACTTGCAGATCATTACGAGATGGCTACGGTTAGTTGGTTTTTATTGGACTATTGGCTATTTTAACAAATATTTTAATTCAAAATTCATTTGAAGTACTACGATATACTCCTCTTAATAATTTTTTGTCGCAGACTTTCCCCAGTCTTAGTGACTATTTATATACTTTTTACCTAGGATTCCGTTCCGGCATCTTCTACCCTACCACCAAAACTTCCTCTAAATAGGCGTCCTTTTCGTCTTTCTCACCAAACACTTGCCATAACAAATATTGATTTTGCACAGAGTGTTCTTGTTGGATATACTCAATTGATAATTTTTCCTTTGGATACCTCACTTCACCGTATATATCTGAATGTTAACCAGTGCCGGATTCATCGAGTCTGTATCGAAGGTGCAGAGGAATACTTCAAGTATTCTTCACCTCTTTTTACCCGCTCCTATCCTCCTGTTGATGTCCATTATATGGTTAGTGATCCCTGTTCCGAGATATGCAAACAGGATTGCAAGTATCGCACTTTGGATAATTTTGAAACTCAACATGCTTCTGTGGTTTCATCAGTTGATCCGGATAATGCTGCTGGAGAGTTGTCTTTTCTTATTCCACTTATATTCAATGATTTAATACGTGATCATTCTCCTCTTCTTATAACTATTGAGTTTTCTCTAAACCAACCCAAAAATGGATTTCACTTTGTGGTTCCAGATGAAGAAGGTCAAGACTGTGCATTTGCGTTCTCTGGGGGTCCTCCTAATTCCTCACGCTTTTGGTTCCCCTGTATCGATTGCAGTGAACCTTGTACATGGAAAATTGAAGTGACAGTTGACGAGGAATGTGTTGCTATAGCACCTGGTGACTTGTTAGGCCCACCTGAATACACAGAGGATTTGCGTAGAAAGACTTATCAGTTTTATCTTGCCCAGCCAACCTCAGCTCCTTGTATTGGCATTGCTGCAGGAGCTTTTGAGATTATTCCTGATAGCAGTGAGTCGACTTCCAGTACTATGATAACCCATTTCTGCCCAAAGGGTATGCGCAAACTCCTTGAACACAGTGTTCAAACCTTTTCTGGCATTATCGATTACTATGAAGGTGAACTGGCCTCTCAGTTTCCATATCGTTCTCTCAGCACTGTGTTTGTTGATAGGTCCTATGAGGATTATCAATCTTTCGCATCTCTCATAATCTTCTCAGTTGATTTGTTATTTTCCCGTCGCATTATCGATCAAGCTATTGCTACTCGTCGTGTTTTCTCAGTAGCGGTAGCGCAGCAGATTTTTGGTTGTGTTCTAATTCCAGAAACCTGGGCTGCTGCCTGGCTCACCTATGGAATTGCAAACTATCTTGCTGGTCTCTATCAAAAGCGCGTATTTGGCAACAATGAATATCGGTTTATTATTGACAAGTATATGAAGGAGGTCACACACTATGAGCATAACTACCATGGTGTATGTCTCGATCCTACAAGGATGACACGTAAAATGACATACTTTAGTCTTAAGGACCCACATGTGATCTCCCCGGAATATCTCAATGCTTATATTAAGAAGGCTCATTTAGCTATTCGCATACTTGCACAACGTTTCGGTCCAAGACTTCTCCTTCAAGTGTTTAACAAAATTTATGCATTGGCAAGACAATCAACAACTAGCGTAGAGGAACAGACCCAGCAACAGCAGAAATCGAATGCATCTCCAACAAATCTCTCAAATAACCTAGAACAGATCTCCACTGTACCACCGATGTTGAGTGATGAAAATCGGGCGAATTTGCTCCTCTCATCGGAGTCATTTAGACGAATTATTTCAACAGTTACTGGCCAGGATATCGGCAACTATCTGGACACTTGGGTTTACAATTCGGGTCATGTGAGACTCAATGTCAAATTCAATTTCAATCGTAAACGCAATGTCGTTGAAATTGACCTCAAAGAGGTATGTTTACTTTACTCCTTTAAGTAAAAAAAATAATTTCCTTAACTCATTTCCTAAATATACACAAGAGTTACATTAATCATATAGTCAGAAAGGCTACTATGTGGTCTTATTTTGGGTTCTTCTATTGCATGGTTTAATTAAGGAATTCAGATAATAAACGTCTCTAAGGTAGGTTCGATTTGTAAATGGGGAACTTAGCTTTTCATTTCAGATTTTGACCAATTTTATATAGTTCGTGGTCTTTAATAAACAATATTCCTTAGCATTATTGCTTGTTCAATTGACGCTTAACTTTCAATGGAAGTGATTTAACTTATAGTGATGCTGTGTTTCGTGGACATTATCTTTCATTCATTTGAACTTTACATGTTGGTCCTACTTCCATTTTTATCGTTCGCAAGAATTTTTTCTCTTAAAAAATGTTATCATTGTAAATTTCATGCCAGCCATAAATTTAGGAATGGAGAGTAACATCCTTGAGCCTCTCTGCTGGTAAAGCCTTATTGTGCTGTCTCTTGTTCGTTTAATTAGGCTTTTTCCTATCTGTGGTCTACTTATTGACACGATTATTGTAAATATTTTATTTATTATTCTTTATTTCACTATTTCGAAATAGTTATCAGCCGATTTTTGCAACTTCATCTGTTCCAATGTTTGCCCCGCCCCACTCAGCTTCCCAGGTCTTAAACCGACGGATGTGCATATGTGGGTCGCTATCGAGAAATTAATTGATCTCCTTGATTGCGTTACAAAGTAAAGCTAGTGGGCAGAGTTAAAATAGTTTTTGAGACCCTTAGCAGAGAAGGCGCAAAATTTGCTCACTCTAAGTCCCGGGTTATTGTGAGTAGAATTTCCAAAAAAGTCTTATTACCGTGTCATTTGAATTTTGCTTAAATCTCTTCGTTTCTGTAGTTGCCAGCTCAGTTTCCTTTTCCTGATCTGGCAATAGCTATAGGAACTACTTTTGGTTGTTGCCATTCAGATCCGGTTGGGTGAGAGAAGAAAGTTGTGTCTCCCCACTTTATTGGTAGCATGTAACTGTTTTACATATCTTATGTGATTTTAATTAGCTTATCTGCCTATTTCGCCAGTTATATTATCAATGAAGGAACTTCATAACCAAACTTACACATAACAGAACAGTTCTTGGCAAATTCGCGGCTCGAGTAAATTTTATTCCCAAAATATTATGAATTTTGTTTTGGGCTTCGAAGAAAATTTTGTTGTATCTTTCTAATTTATTTCTAAGCGAAGCAAAAGTAAACGAATTTGAACCTTTACTAATTAGGTAAATGTTGGTAATACAAAGTCCTGAAAGGTGTGGGCATTGATTTTCAGTCATCGTAATCTCACACCTGTTTTGAAAAACTTCTCCTTCTCTTGTTGCGTTTTAAAAGTAGGAATTTACCTTGTTGAATTCTTTAATGTTTTAATTGCACTTTCACAATGAAAGTCTTAAAACTGTACTAACTCACCTTTGCTTTCTAACATTTTCAGGACCGCCAATCGGAAGGTCATGTGAGCTATTTGGGTCCAATGACAGCACTGTTACAAGAATTGGATGGCCCTTTCATGCACACCTTCAAGCTAGAAGAAGGTCGAACTACCAGGGATCTGCAGTGCCATTCAAAATCACGAAAGCATAAGAAGAAAAAGATCCCGTTATCTAATGGTGAAGAAGTTGAAATGGATATTAGTCGTGTCGATCCAGACTCCCCTCTCCTTTGGCTTCGACTCGATCCCGAACTCTCTGTGATTCGTAGCATCAATATTGAACAGGCTGATAACTCCTGGTATCTTATGCTGTCCAACGATAGGGATTGTCTTGGTCAACTAGAAGCTGTACACGCCCTTGCTAAATTCCCCTCTCCTGAAACTCGTCATGCCCTTCTCAGCATCATTGCTGATGATCAGATGTACTATCGAGTTCGAACGGAGGCTTGCAATGTTCTCTGCCAAGTGGCAAATGAGATGTCAAGTATGGGTAGTCTTGGTATGGCCGGAATTTCTTCTGTTGGAGGAGTTGGAGGCACTTCGGCTCATCACCACCAGAACACCTCTGTGCTCATCCCACTTTTTTGGCAACTTTATTCCTCCCCTCTACAACGTGGTTTGGTTCGACAAAATGACTTCTCCAATCTGCAGCGCTACTTCCTTCAAAAGGCCATTGTCCGTGCCGTCTCTACACTTCGTGTTCAACAAGTCTGTCCGCGAGATGTCATTTACTTCCTTGTGGAATTGAATAAATATAATGATAACTCTCGAAATGCCTTCTCGGACTGCTACTATCAGGCAGAGTTGATTAGAGCTCTAGCAGGCACTCTCACTCCTGTAATTATGATGAAGGATGTGCTAACAATCAATGTCCTTCCCGACGAAGTACGGACCGTGCTGGAAGAAGTTGTACGATGTCTCAATGTTGACTCCCAATTCCCTAGCTATAAGAGAATGGTCACCGTAGAGTGTCTAAAAGCTGTACGTCGTCTTCAGCGTTTGGGATTCGTTCCTGTTGATCCTACACTCTTCTACAACGCAGCTGCGCCTGGACACTACGTGGATGTTCGCTTATCTGCAATTGAATGTCTGGTGGATTTTGTTCACTCAGAACGAGATGCTGATGCTTTGAATTGGCTATTCCAGGAGATTATTGAGAAACAGGGTTGTACAAAGCAATCCTATCCCTATTTACGTTTTAAGACCGTCTGTTTACTTATCCAAACACCTCCTTTTGAACGTGGAGGTGGGACTAAATTGGACACTCCTCAGCTTGCCGACAGGATCTGGAAACTCATGAATGTGGGATGTGCTGGTGATTCAAGATTACGCTGTGCGGTCACGGATTTGTACTACACCCTGTACCAGGGCAAGAGGCCATCGTGTCTACCCCTTGCAGATGGTATGATGGTTGTTCGAGTGAAGGAAGGTCGCTCTCTGTTGGGATATTCAGAGGCAGAGCCACCATTGTCGTCGTCATTTCTTGACGATAGCCGTCGTCGTAGTGGTGGCTTCGATTTATCGCATGAATCTGAATCCTTCGATGGTCGCTCTTCGCCCACTCCTAAGCAACCTCGAATGGAACATCTCAGTGATGATGACGATGATTTCACAGTAAGTCCTCTGTTTTTTTAAAATATTTTACTGTTTAAAACCACTAGATTCCAAAAAGCCGAAAAGTATTAAGGGAATGAAATAGTGGTCAGATGACTTACTACAGAACTAAGAAAACAGGTATCCACTGATCAGTGAGGCAATCTTGACTCAGTGTATACAAATGTTGATTTATGTGTTTCTCGCTATTGCTGTCATGTCTGTGCTGCTTGAGGTCTCATATATTAGGAAGGCTAAAGGTGGTGGTAGCAAGGGATAAAAGTCATAACCAAGGATCGCTGTTTATATTGCCTCAATCGCAATTCAAGATGCTTGTCAAGTCGTTTTTCTCTTAATTTATCCAACACCTTTAATATTGTGGCCATCATTAAAAGCGAGCTTTGCAGCTCTTTACCATTCCTGTCAAATGTAGTTTACTCGGTTTCGAGAATTTCCTCAATTTGCTTGCTAATGACTTTATGCCAACTAAATTCGTGCTTTTGCTTAATTTTCTTTAATTTTCTTTTTTAGTAATCAAGGTGAAACTGCATTTACTTTACAAATTGTACATATATTCTACATATTATAATTTTTTACTGATGGACGTCTTAGCAACGACGGAATGGGTGTTCGCCTCCCCACAAATCATTAAGACTTTGCCTTCCCTTCCTTCGTTTAATTAATGTACTGAAAGGTTGTGTATTAATAAAAGGAGTGGGTGGCAGGCATTCCAAGTAAATACAGGTCTTTTCAGTTGTGGATCCAGGGGGTTAAATTTTAAAGTATTATTTTTTACTTAGAATGACCGCATGCATGATCACCTGTGCTTAATAAATTCATTGTCATTTGTTTGGATATTGGAACACTAATTTAACCTGTACGCGATAGTTGATAACGAATTGTTTTTCATTTGATTTTTTGCTTATTACTTATCGTTTCTTCTTTTTACATCCGTTCATAATGTTTCCTTATGAAAAGTGCGTTCTACTGAAATAATATTAGTAGATATGTTTTTATCAAAGCTACTGTGGAGTAAAATAAAGAGGAGATTGACATGGTCACCCGTTCCTTCATGGAGGATGATATAGGGAATTATATGTCTTAAATACTGTTTATAGCTCGCCAATGCAGCACTCTTTGACGAAATTAGGGAGAGAGATTTTTATTGGCACTTCTATACTATTATTGTTAGGGTAGGCGTAATTTAATTGAACGTATTTTTACTAAGAAAGGAGATACTCTAACCCGTTGTACATATTTTATAGCTTTTGTGTACTTTGTAAATATTTGTGAAATCTTCAAAGGTAAAAGTCTTCTCTTGAATCATAGGCCTTCTTCCCTGTTCTTGTGCGGGTTATTTCAGCCATGGCGTAGCTCAGTGAGCGGCTAAGAGTATTCAAGTAACCACGTAATGTTCAATCACTGCGAATAGACAACGTTTTACATCAACTTACTCAAGTTAAGATAATCAGTATGCCCATCACATTGCCTAAATGTAGAGGTGTTTACTATTATTAACTGGTTATCTAGACATTAAAGGTAAACATGGAAGCTTTTATAGCTTGAAGCTAAAAATATTTGACTTTCACAGAGCTATTAACATTCAACAATATTCACATTTCTGACTTACGAAATTTTCATATCTAGTTTTAAATGATTAAACCTACTTAAATATGATATTTCGGGGTTTAATTTTAATTCATACAACCACCTTTCTTTAGCCTATCCTAGTATAGTTTGAGATATTTAAAGCAGTTTTCGTTTATCCCACTCAAGAAAACTGGATCAAATATTTTCGGCTCCCACTTCTATTGTGGTTCTAGTCTAGCCAGGCAGCCATTAATTTCTTATCTTAATCTCTCTCTCGCAGTAGAGATATCTTCGTTATGAAGGAATCGTCATTTGAGTTACAGCTCTGCTCCATTCTCTTTTTATTTGTTCTGATCAAGCGTATAACCTAGAAATATTTGGGTGCTAAGCGGATAGATTATGTATGCGGATGCGTTTTATTGTACCTGTGGCGACAAGGCTTTGCATTGGCATTGAAAAGGAATTGATGTTTATTAATTGTGGGTAAGTTATTCAAGCGATGAGCAGACGCGCGCAGTAGTGCTGTCTATATTGTTAGCGATAAATTGTAACAGATAATTCTTATTTCTAGTTTACTTTCCACGTTGTGTAAATTAGTAGAAGCAGTTGTATAGTTCATCAACATAAAGGTGGCATTTCGCGGTCATATTTTCGATTTATGCATATTTTCTGCCTCCACATCTTCTAATATTGTTAATTAATTAATCAAGTAGTTGGTCTGTGTGGCTAAATCGTATTTTGAACATTTAATATAGCCAAAAGATATATTGATCAGAACATGGGAACTAAATCCATATTTTTAAGTTCAAGCATCTGTTTCTTCATTTTGCTACGAATTTTTACACGTGATGATATTGTAGTGGCCTTGTATTGTATCAATAATTATGTAAAGATTTATTTATTTCAAATGGCAGGCTTTATGATAATTATCATTAGCCCCTTAGCTGACTCCGGGCTTCACAGTGGGGAGGAACATCAAAGTGAGAAAAGTGGAGAGGGGGAACAGAAAAGTGATTCACAGATGTAAAAGAGATAAACAGACACAAAGGCAGAGAAAAGGTAAGATGAGTGCTGTGGAAGTGGCGGAATATGACATACAGTGGGGTTATGGTAGTTTAAAGTGAGAAGTCAACTGCCGGTTCATAGACTTTTTGCTGTTGGAGTATACGTTGCCCAGGGTGAATCACTTGTAAGTAAGTCTATCGCGTACCCCATTATGTAAAGATAAGTTCTCCTAATCCAAGGGGAACGCCTACACAAAGTTATAACTAAGGCAAGTTGATCAGAATGCTCTGGACGTCTTCGGTGAGAATGGGCAGTAATATCACTTTCTGTCTCAACAGCTGTAAACCCCCCCCCCTCTCCCCTTAAGAGAATTCGAGCTCCAACATCAAGGTGTGGAGCTGTCCACAGCATGCGACTTTTCCTGCACTCTCAGCAAGACTGCCTTTCCCTATCCCTAACGTTAGCATCAATTTCAGTACGAGCCATTCAAAAGATCGTTTGAAAAGCGACTGTATGTTTTCTTCGAATGGAGAAGTGGAGAAAAAGTTGTTTTCCAGACTATTGCCCCTCTTCTCCACCTATTTGCACACTTCAAACATTAATTGTTCTTGTATGATGTCTGCAGTAATAAATGGGATTATGTAAATTTCATGTCAATTTCTCTCAGTCGTCTGTCTTATCCTTCATTGAGTTACTTGCTGATGATTGCTCACACTGTAGTTTTCAAACGCATTCCTTGCATTGTATTATGGAAATTGAAATAAATGTATTTTCACACGTTATTCTTGTCTTTTTCGCGTCCTATTTGTAGTGGAGCTTAACAGTGTCGAGGCTTACCTAGACTTCTTGACCAAATATTGGACTTCACAAGCTGAAGTTGTTTCAATTTCTGCATAGAGAAAAGTCGCAATCCTTCAGCTGTTCTGAATGAACCTCGTACAAGGTAAATGTCAATAAATGAATAATTTGTGTACAGTCATCAAGATAATTGCATTTATCGAATTTGAGGATGCCATTTATTTGGATTTAAAATGATATAACGTTGATATATTGTAAAGTAAATAAAAGCATTGAAGTCAAGACCATAATCTGATATCGAGTTCAACAAATTTTAACTGCCTCGCTGGATGCACCTCGTCGATTTTTCTTGTCGGTCTTCTCAATCGGAGACAATTCTGCCTCGGAGATTTGCAAGCCTTGGGGGGGGGGGGATGGCTAACCCCACTACATCGAAGATTTTGATAATCAAATCTCCCCTGTTATAAAAAATTCATCATTCAGGGCTTTATGCTTTGCACAATATCTTTTTTCCTTAACAAAAGTTCAAAATTATGCGATTAGATGCGTTTGTGGTTTGCAAAGTGCACTTTAATACAGCATATCATGACAAACTAACATTCAAAATTGATATTATTCATTCACGCAAGTTGAGCCTACAATATTGCATGTCTTCCTTCACGTGAATTTGTGGGCCTTCGCTTTTTTTAGACGCAACAAGCAATTTGGACACAATTTTATGCAAATTGGTGGCTTATTTCTTGAACTGAAAATCATTTGTTCTAGTGGTAACCTTAATACTCAACATGATTATCTTTCATCTTATAATAAATATGGCTAAGTAGCAACGAACTGAGTTAATCGAGAAGGAATGATTTTCTCTATTGCTCCGTGAACGTCATTGTCCCATTGGCTAAGCCAAACACTCAGACGATTCAGGCAGCCCTCCCCACACACGCGGTTGGAAGTCAACATTCCCAAATACTTTGTTCTCAGGACATGAATCCAATCTAAACGACCTTGCAAAACAGAAACATAGGCCTTACCTGCTACCCATTCCAAAAATTCCAATGTACAACTTGTTTACCTCAAGTCACTTTATCCCACTTTTTTACGTTATCCTAACCAAGTGTGATAATGAAGGTGTCTTCTTCTCAGTTCTTAGGTTCTGCATCCCTACTGCCTTCTGCAGTTTTGTGATAAGCGGCCCTATGCAAGTAATTATTTCCTTATAATATTCAAATTTGTCTGTTGATAAAAGACATCGGTCATCTATGATTATTGAATTTTGTGCAGTTTGGTTATTTGTTTATCATAAATTAATAATTTTTATCCAAGAAAGATTAAGGCAACAGTGTATTGTTGATTATTTCTGAAATGTAACATTTGCTTTGAAGGATCTAATGTAAATTGCGGTTTGCTTAACCTCGTGTTATTACTGAATTCTGGTTTTGTAGGCTACTAGGCGGGGTCTGATTGCTCCACAGCAAGCGACGAACACCCAGCATTTACCATCTCTGGGAATTTCCAGTGCTGAAAGCTAGAACAACAGAGTTCACAATCCTATACCAAATATTTAAGAGAGCTTGTCTGCTGAAATAATTTTTTTCTACCAAATTGTGACTTAATATTCCCGTGATACTCCCAAAACTTTTACTGCCAGTTTCTTACGCTTCTACCGTAGATTTTGCCTTATCGCCTCTTGTAGCATTATTTTTCAACTTCAACTCCGGTTGAGGTGGCCAATGGGGGAACTGCAGGAACCCTGATATCTCTACCTCTGTGACTTTATAAATCTTATTTCCAACTGATTTGAGTGATTGCAGTTCGAATTACCAGGGTGCATATGTGTTTTAATAACCTCACATGCGACAATTTTTTAAAAAGTTTATCTGAGAGTAGAAGAATTTATCAAGTCCAATTTTCCTTTATCTCAGTTTACAAGTTGACGACAAAAAATTAATTAATATTTGGAAAAATTAAATATTTTAAGCATTTTAGACCTGCAATGTCTTCTAGACGACTTTTTCACATACCTAAGTGAATCCTATAAATGATTTTTCACAGACATTTCGGCTATTCAAATTCAACGTCTGCTCTTGCTAAAATAATGGTGTAATGAACCAACTGAAAATGAGTTAAAGTAAAATTTTATTCAAAATCCCTTAAAACGAATTAACAATTTGAAGTGATCCCTTAACAGCCGATCTCCCGTATTTTTTAAACAGTAGATGATAGACTACTCTGTACTTAAGTCTGTTTACCAGAAGTATCGAGAACGTGCCGACCTTGCTTGCTATCCAATCACTAAATACCTGCTTTTCGCCGTTAACCTCGTGTTGACCAATAGCCAACCCCCACACAAAGAATCCATGCAATCTATTGGCTGTCATCTCACTTGCCTAAATATGTGTACCTGTTTTTGCGCGCACGCGTGTCGTAGTCGCCGATGGCGCTCAGGCAACCTGAGTGACTCATTCATAGCTGCACGCTTGTGCTTTAGGCGTAGTCTATCTCTACGTCCACAATTACACTTTCATAAACACACTTCCGCTGCACCTACTTCACACGCCAATAATTACCACAAGAACATAATCACATTCTGGCCATATGACACAAATCAATTGACTACAAAACTTTATTTACCAAAATGACTGAAAGGCCGCTATCACCAGCAGAAGAATGGCTTCAAGAAAGTGAAGCCAGGCTTGAGTCTATGGAAGTGTTACTGAAATCTGTACGTCGAGATATTGATGCTCTTAGTGAGAAAATTCCCTCGCCCCGCCCCGGTCTACGAAAAGCCTTTCGAACAGAGCCTGTTATTCATGAATCTGGAAGTAAGGATTATATCCTTCGAATTGATAGTAGACCAAAGGCTTATCAGAACCTTGGCCTTGGATCTCATACATCCCTTGAACCTTTTGATGTCGATGATGATTTAGATGGACCAATGAATGATGTCACCTTCCAGAAATCCTGGCGATCACCGTCAGACTTACGAAATGAAGACTCACCTCCCGGTTCGCCAACTTTCGGAGAAAGCAGCAAGATAATCTCTTTAAATGATGTAATCCTTGATCTCGAAAAAGATTCTTATTTGTCGCAAGACGAAACAGAAGAGGTTCAGGAAAGAGGGGTTCCCCTGATTGAAAGCTTGCATTCATTGCCAACAATAGAGGAGAACTCACAAGAGGACAACACTGACACCTCGATATCGACTTCAGAGGATATAAAATCGGCCGACTGCTCTTATACCCAGTTGGCTATTGGGGCATCACGTGATACCATCATTAGTCTTCCTTCAAAACGCCTTCCGGGAGAAATTATGATGGAGCGTTCTGGATCTGCTCATTTTACCCCCAATAAATCTCGATCTGATTACTCTGAGGGTTTGAGGTTCTCTCGAACTTCACTAAAGAGTCGTGAGAGTATGATCAGTGAATCGGACTCCTTTGTGACTGTCAATAGTCAACCTTTTCCATCCGCCGAGGAGGCTTATATCACAGCGTATAGTGATACTGACGATTTTGGCGAATCCAATGACGAGGACTCATCGTCTCAATTCGAAAGATCCTTAAGGCGGAATAAAGTCCTCGTTTTGCAAAAGACGCCTTCTGCAGATGGCGAGACGGACTCGGAGGATATTTTGGAATTTACTTTTGTTGAGGCCCCTCTCTCTAATCCACCTTCTAATGGAAATGGAACTCTAATTTCACCAGCCTCAAGTGAGTAAATTAAAAATAAGCCATCAATTATTTCCGCAAACTTTATTAAATATCGAAATAAATTTCAAACAAATTAGACACCGAGGAGTGGAAAGGCAAAACTAATCAAGCAAACTTAAATAGTATTTGATAATGTGCTATAAAAAATAACTACAATTAAAGTAATATTATTTATGATCCTTTTGTTTGAAAATCCCTTGAAAGGTAGCCCTCAAGTACCTCAAGAGTTAACATGCGAAAGTTTTAGTACATTTTCGCAGAATTTATCCAATTGTGAACGATTCCTTAGAGTCTGCGTTTAAATAAATCGATTGGTGTGCAAAGATACATTTTCCGAAATGACAGTTGTTGGTGAATTCGAATTTGAACAGAACTATTTTTAAATGAGATTTTGGTTGTCTTAAGGGTCATCGATGTTTTGACGTTTATTGAGAAGAACCTTGCCATGACTTCCAGTTATAAATGAAAACAATGTTGTAATCATATGCATTTTCCTAAGCATTGGTGTCGGAAGCCGATTCTAATCTACTTAACATTGGAATACTGCATACATACGTGAAAGACAGGTCAATTGCTGCCATGTGACTATGGAATTTTTTCGGTTATTTCAATTTGATTGCATTAAAATAGAGTATATGGAAAAAGGGGACATAGCTGGAGTATTGTCTAAGTGTGAGGGTAATTCAAATGTGAATATTCCGACTTTGAAATTAAAATTCCTATGTAATTCCTAGTATCCGTTGGATACTACATAATTTTTGTTTGACATATCTAACGACTCTCCATTAAGATTGAAATGTAAACTTGCAAGTGATCGAGTAACTATTGAAAATAATCAATATAAGCAAGCTTCTATCAAGATTTGAATGGAATTATGGGAGTAAGCAATTACACTAATTGATTGAAAGGGTCAAACAAAAGATATTTTTAGATATTATTTTGCCATACGTTACTCGTTGAAGGAAAAATAAGACGAAAGTTGCCGTCTCTTTGCCTTAAATATAATTATAGTTTGGCGTTTGTGAGCCCTTATTGGTCTTTAGAGTTGAAGGTGAGTGGGTGATAATTGGCCTTGAAGTCGCTTTTGGTTGCACTTCGATAACTCAGAAGGGTGACTTAAATGAAGGGGAACAGGATTGTTCTGCTTATCGCAAGCGGCTACTGAGTTAATGCAAGTAATCCCTGACTAGCTTGACTCTTTCATTACTGCGAACTTCCCAAGTGGCCTCTGACTTGACTTCTAGAGTTTCCCATTGCTCTTCCTCTTATGGCCTTCACCAAGAGTGAATGAGTTTTCGAATAGATAGAAATTGCTCGGCTCTGCAATCTGATTCGATTTTCGAGCCAACGCAGGGGACGGATTTATTTGCTTTTTTTCATGTGCAGCTTTGTCGGAATGTGGGAATAAGCAGTTAGCAACTCCGGAACTGTTCTCATACATACCTTAATTGAGGCCTGATTTACGCAAACAAAAGCTATATTAGCTATTTCTACCTGTTGAATCGTTTTGATGCAAAAAGAGGATTGCTTTTGTTTATCGTTCGCGGCAAAATTAGTTGAAGATATGTCTTCTCTTACCTGATAAAAATTATTATTATTATTATTACTTGTAAAGGTGCCATTTTTGCAAAATTTAATGAAAGAGTGCCATAAGAGCATACGAAATTACAAAAGCATTAAAAAACGACTGAAAGCGGAGGGAGGTTGAGTGAGATTATAAAATCGAGTCGAATCGTGAAGAATTCCATTTAATTTATACTCTAGGAGCATTGAATGGCTCAATTTCCTATAGGGCGTAAAATCCCCACCTTAGCAATAAAGTCTTTTGACAGATTGAGTCAATAAAATGATTGGTCAAAATTCTTTGTTTAGTTTGTTTCTTCTTACAGCTTTGAAGCGAAGACTCTCTAAACATAGCGGACTTCACTAAAAATCAAAATAAATTATTGAAACTTTTTTCTTGAAATTGGTATTTGAATTACGAAGGCTAAGTTATACTTTCTGGTGGTGCTCTGTCTTTTAGTGCTCTCCCATGCCAGTCTCAACTCGAAAATAGTTGATATTTTCATTTTTCAAGAATCCACCTTAAAGATCTACACATTTTCACTGACAAGTTATCTCAACATTCAGTCTGTAAGTATTTATTTTGGAAAAGTCTATAAGTAATAGCACTTTCGGTCTCTTTTCCTTTAACTTATCATGTTGCATAAAGTGCATTGAAACTTCAAAGTAATGGAAAGCCCGAAGTTGGGATTCATTTTGGTTGCCTAAATTATTTGCGCACATTATTAGGGGTAAGAAACTTTTGATATTTTTCATATCTAATGGATCTTTCTAAAGTTCAAGTAGATTTGAACCCAATGCACTTTAATATTTTCCCTCAATCTGCCAAAGAGTAGAGGCGAGGGCGAATATTTTCTAGAAATTTTGATTTACTTATTTCCCTCCACCACCCCCACTACCTCCACCACCACCGTGTTTAGCTTAGGGGACCGCGATACCAGGCTATGACCTTAATTTGGTCGTCTTTCCGTCTCGCGTTGGTACAGGTCGATTTAAACAAACCAGGCAGTAATTTAGCCTGAAAGTGATAAAAACTGTCTCATAATTACTTTTTTTCCCAGGAAAAAATTCTACGCAGGAGCTTCCTGAATTTAGTTATTTAAAAATAGGTTGCACTCTATGCTGATTATGTCATGAGCAAGGAAATTCCCCGCTCTACAGTGATTCGGTTAGATATCTGCCCGTGTTCTCGATCCGATTTTTGGAGGATTGGTTAAGCGTTCAATCTACATGAAACTGTTGGGGCGGGGGGGGGGGGGGGAGGAACTTGGGAGGATCATTTTAGAAATTATTTATAATATTATATTTGAGAATGAGTCCTCCGTTGTTGATGCATCCATGGCATTCATTGAGATGCTCCAATTAACCCCAGAAGTAAGCGCTTTATAAATATCTATTACTCAAAACTGAGACAATTGAAAATCCATTTAGAGATGAACTTTGGTGGGATTAACAATAGAAGCCGCATTTGAAAGCAACGGTGCTTGGGAGGTAGTCTTGCGCAGTACAGAGAGCAACAAAGTGAAGAGGAAGAACAAGAAGGTGCCATTTGTGCTGATATTTTTTGGTGTCTCTAATATGCGGACGAGGCGTTTGTCACCAAGGTAAATGTATCAGAATTGGATACCTGCCTCTATACAAACCACAATTCCAGCGGCATTTTTTCAGATTTGTCCAAAAAGCGAAAAGCAGAGGGAAGGTGGGGGTTGGGGGGGGGGGAGGGGAGTGGACGTTATTGAAGCCAAACTTTCTGTTTTCTTGTTACTGCTGAAAAAGACAGCTGATAGTAAGTTTGAAGACAACCATTCGACCCATATTTTGTTAAAATTTTATGCCAGTTCGTTATAGTTAGCAATGTTATTCACCTTTACCCTCCAAAGTGTACCACTTTAATGACACCTAGAGAGAAAAATCTTCTGAAATTATTTTCTACCTATTTTCGGTCTTCGCATTCATTACAATTTTTCCATTCTTCATTATGTACCAAAATTTTATTCCTGCGATTTGTTCATTTCATTTGCTTATAAAAATGTAAATAACTTTAAAAAATATAAATACTTTTTGTCCTCTTCTGCTTGTACTTATTTCCACCAAAAAATTTCACCTTTAAGTATTTGACACAAGCGTGTTTTTTTGATTAAACAATCATTCTGGCAACCAATATTTTATACCTGTTTATTTATGTAAATGAATCTTAATAACACTTTATTTACCCCCTTACAAGGTCAAAGTAACGAAAATATAAGTGATTTTCTCATATGAAAGATCTAGACAATAGGGCATGTTTTGGAACGATAAAAAAGAATTGGGAAAAAATTTAGATCCACAATTTATCTGCTGTACATTGAAGGGTGACAAAAGGTATCAGTTTTAGCGGAGCTTATGTCCGAAGTATTCAACTCTTATAAACAATAATATATTCGAATGATAAACAAATGAATAGCTTGTTGTGTTCTATCACCCTGTCAAAGAATTTTCGTTGACTTTTGGTTGCAGCCAAAAAAACAGTAAATAGATATTGAATTGTGCTCGCTACCCACTTTTCCCACTGTACTTGCCTTTTAATTCACTGCAAGCAAATATTCTTCTCACTTATCTTAGAAAGTTACAAAAGGTGATATATTAGCCTCAGTTATTACTTATAGGTTATCTGATTAGCTTGAAAAGGAAACGTCCCAGTTTGAAATAACCGGCTTTTCAAAATGCAAAAAATTACATTGATAAGTTTCAGATTACGCAAGACAGGCCTAATTGTGTACAATTTATGTTTACATTGCTAAGTCACAATTAATTTGAATCCAACTTTTAAAGTAACTAATTATTATCCCAATTACTCATGAAGTTGCGTTGGTTCTCAACTTAATATTTGTCCAGTGACTTAATTGGTCCCCAAATAACTTATTGCATTTAAACAAGAGTCCTTTTTGTGAAGCACAAAGTTACAAAGTAATTGCTTTCAATATTTTAATTCCACTGCATAGAATTTAATATTAATTGCATTCCGAAACTTACACGATTGTCTTTGTTTCACCCGCGAGGAATGTGCGAACATCTTCTCTCAAACACTGGATAATCGATTTTTGGATTCCCTGTGGAGAAGCTAATTCGCTAAAGAGCCAGCCAATCATTTATCATCATTTCAAGCCTATATAACCAAATTAGTTTTGCAAATAAGATTGTCGCATGAGCTATAAGACTTATTTATTGCTTTTTTCTATTGAGTCTGAATTGCTGTAGGTTTGGAAATGAGGAGGCGTAAAAACGTTCGTTTAAAGCAACTAGTTATTTAAAAAAAATTGCCTGAAAGTTCCAATTTTTTCTTGAATTCAAAATCTTCTCAAGATGTTTGCATTCATTACGTAAAAAGTTTTCCTACAAGATAAAATTTTTTTCCCAGAAGAAATCCAGCAATGCACGAGGAAAAATTTCTGGACTTTGCCAGATA